GGGGACCTGGGAGTTCCGTGCCGACCTGGGCGGGGAAGGACGCGCCCAGAGCGCGACGGCCTCCGGACTCCGGCGCCGGACTCGCCCCGGCCCCGGTGCGTGGAAATTGCCCCGACGCTTCCAACTTCCCGGTCTCGGGCAAAGCGGCCGGCAGGCTCCCGCTCCTCGCTTGCACTTGCCCGTAGGGCAGCGACCCATTTAGTAAATCCTCAACCCCAGGTACAATTTTCACAGGCTTGTTCACAGTGATGGTTCTGGTGTTCTTAGTTTAAGATGAGTTTAAAGGGCGTCTCCAAATGACAAGTAATAGGTAGATATCTGTACAGAATAGAAAGTAAGATATTTCTGGTTAGCAGACGGGGATATTTACTCACCACAATCACCTGGTCGTTCATCCCTAATTTGAAATAGTTCTGAACCAAAGCATTTTCCCCCAGGTTGTGCAGGGAAGGGACGAAAGTTAAAATTCCGGCACAGCATCACATGCCCTTCAAATTCAGATCTGGCCACAGCCGCCCGGGTTGGTCTTAATCGCTTAAATGACCTGTATTTTATTAATGCCTTTTAGTCGTCTCTTACACCAGTTCTTTAAACCATTTTCACACGCTCACAAAGGAAACTAATTTGGTCTTCACCTTGTCTTTGAATCTTGCCCAACTTTGGTAGGAACTGGTGTCAAGATAAAATGAGTGTGTAATGACTGCTTTAGAGGGTCGTGAAAGGGGGCTTGTGAATGATTCAACTGGATTTAATCCTGAGTAGCCAGGCATTTTTGAATAAAACCAGTTCACTAACAACTAGTTGTAAGCCTCTACCCCCCTCCCCCCCCCAGGGTATCTTTAACATTGAATGTGTTTAAATCTTAGCATTTGAGTCCTAATAAATGATCTTTTGATCTTTGACTTCATGCCTCAAAGAGTTCTGCCAAATTTAAGTGGACTGGTATAACCTTTTTGTGGATACTTTTAAGTTACTTTGTAATAGAAAGGTCACCTATTAACAGTAGCACACCCTGGTGTTTAGTTTTAGTTAGACTTTGACTAATTTTGATATAGATACTTTTAAACAATGTATAAGTAGTTGAAGTGCCAGAGTTGGGAATTAAATTTTAAAATGTATTATGTTTTCATGTTGGAGTTTGATGACTACCAGCAACACCCAAGGTACAGCAAAAGCTACTAAGGTCAGGTGGGTTGGGTAACAGTGAGAGTGGTCCCACCCCTCATAAGGGAATCCATTTTCTGTAGGGAATTGAAAAACAATAATAAAACTTAGTATATTTGCTTTTTATTATTACCATGTACCTACAATTCTAAATAGTGTCGTTGATAAAATACTCCCTCTCTCATGCCCCCTCCTCACCCAATCACTATATTTGGGGCATGGTGTTTGACTAACAATATCACTGAATCTAATCCTGTGTAGTGTAGCTGGATTCTGTTGTATCCAGATGACCATTGTACTAAATCCCTTTCTTTCAGTATTTATTAGTAAAATTAACTAAAGGATTTAACAATTGCTAAATTAGTTTTGACGGGGAAATTGCCAGTATGATTTGGGTTGTGTCACACCCTGGATAAAATATAGCATACACACACACATAAGCATAAACATATATGCATACACAATTTCAAATAAGATTCTGAAATCTTTAGAGAGCAAATTAAGTGATAAGGGAAATACTGAAAAAATTATACATTGCATAGAATCATTTCTCTGATGTCCTTGTATTTGCATGTTTTGATACATAATTTAATCTATCTGCCTTCCCTTTTGTTACTCTTTATAAATCAGTACTGGATCCTATCTTTTGGCTGTTTTTATATATTAGCTGCTATAGACGGATTTTTACATGACCATAATTTGGATGATAAACCTGCCATTTGGGGAGATAGTGAAGAGAAAGAGATATGTTTTCCCATATGAAATATTCATAATTATTTATACCCAAATTTTGCATATAATTGAGTTGATGACATTTAAAAAAAAATAGTGTATCTTTTAAATAGATGGGTTTATAATTTCAGATTTTTGCTAATATTGCTCTAATTCCTTTCTGTTAATGTGTCTTCATAGATTACACACACTCTGCCTGCAGGAATACTTATCAGGGTTTTAATGGTGAGTATCCTTTTTCATTTGCTCTTAAATATGTTAGGGGATACATTTCAGTTTTTCTCTTCATACACATAAAGTACTAATGTAAAAAGCTGGTTCTTCTGTGTTTCATCCAGTGTTTTTTTGTCTCTTGATGTGTCACTTAAGATTAATGTTGTCATGCTATATTTAGTATTTGAATTAGGGAGTTTGGGATCAGAAAAAGTTAGGGCTGTTCATATTAGCTTGACTCTTTGTTTTATTTGAATAATGGTTCCTTTAATTTATTTCAAAAGGCCCTGACTGCATTCTGAGAAATAAGTTACAAGAAAATGGCTGAGATATTTTTGTTGAATTAGAGGCTCTGGTATTGAGTAATGTAGATTAAGTGGATTATTGGCTTATTTCTCTATTGCTTCTGTTGTAATGTATTTTGACCTTGTTTTTATGTGTTCAAATATGTTAGTATTTAAAGAGCTGTCTAAAGGAGCACATAAAGACGCCTGATCATTTATGAACATAAGCATGATGTTAGAGTTATGACTGCAGAATTAGATAAAATCGTGAGGTATGCAGAATACAATTAGATGTCATTTTGATAATTATTAAAGTTAAGGCTCTTCCAGAGAGGATGATAACACAAAAAAAGAACAACCCAAAGATATTTTAAAAAACATTACATGAAGGACCCAAGCAAGTGTAATTAAAATTCTGATTGCCAGAGAAATGCAAAATTCAGTTGTTGTACATAATATATTCACAAAGTAAAACTGAAGCAAATGTGCTACTAAATAAAGAAGACTATACTATTTTATGGGAAAATTATAGTCCACTTAATTTCTTTTTATCATCTCTAAGAATTTAGAGAAACTTTGGGTTTGATGTGGGCTAAAATGGCACAATATATAGGAAGTATTCAATATACAGGGTTGGCAAAAGCAGGTTTACAGTTGTGAGTTCTCAAAACAGTTAATTTTTGTTTTGTTATTTATTAATTATTGTTTCAGTTGTATCCACATGTAAGTTAGATTGAAAACTGGAAAATTATCTAGAAAACCATTTCATAAATTTAGGTGTAAGGATTTTAAGACCTTGAACTTAGGAGGTGAAAAGAGTAATTTTAAAAATATTAAGACATTTCTAGAGAAAATTAGCAGAACTTACAGGCTGACTAGTAGTGAGTAGAAAATTGAGAGGGATGAATAAAAAATGAACCCAGGATTTTAAACTGGAGTGAGTAGGACTAGTGCTTTTACTGAAGAGAATGATTTGGAAGAATAGAAGGCTGTGATCTCCAGTACCATGTACTAGAGAGTTAGATTTAATGTCTAAATACAGGTCTTTGAAATACAGGGCCAGAAATTTACTTTCTTGATGTAGAGTGTTGCAAAAAGAGCTTCAGAAATTTCTTTGACTAATGTTAGTACTCATATTTTATTTTTTAAAATTTTAGCTTCAACAGTGGTTCTCATCTGAGGGTGATTTGTTAGACTTCCCTGGGCAGCTCTTTCAAAGTATATCTGTTCAGGTCATACTCTAGTCCTCTTGAATCTTAATTATGGGGCAGGTTGTCCCTGGCTGTGTATATTATGAAAAAAGTACTCTGAAATGCCCAGCCGTCATGGCTCAGCGGTTGAGCATAGACCTATGATTAGAGGAGATTGGGGTCCGATTCTGGTCAAGGCACATGCCCTAGTTGTGGGTTCAATCCCCAGTATGGGGCATGCAGGAGGCAGCCAATCAATGACTCTCATTGATGTTTCTCTTTCTCTCTCTCTCTCTCCTTCTCCCTTCCTCTCTCTGAAATCAATAAAAATATATTGAAAAGAAAAAAGTACTCTGAATGATTTTGGAATGCACCTCTGATTAAAGACCACTGCTTGACAACACTTTGAGGTCTGGGTTATCTACATTTTATAAATGAGGAACTTAATTTCAAGGATATAATTATTTCATTCAACAAATATTTTTGGAGTGACTATTGTGTGTCAGATACTGTTCTAGGAGCTGGCACTATAGCAGTGAACAAAACAGATGAATATTCCTGCCCTTGTGGAGTTTACAGTGTGGTAGGATGAAATAGGCAGTAAATATGGTAAAGAAGTAACGTATGTAAGATGGTAATTGCTAGGGAGAAAAATAATGCAGGGAAAGGGTAATGTGTGTGTGCGTGGGGGGGAGAGGGAGCCGGAATTTGAGAGTAGCTGGCGAAGGACTCACTGAGAACATGACATTTGAGCATAGATTTAAGGGAGGTGAGGATGCAAGTCATGAGGCTATCTAGAGGAAGAATGTTGTAGGCTTTAGAAAAAAAAGATACACCGTTACCAAGTGAAGCTAACAATATACTTCATTGTTAGCATTGTATTTTCCAGCGTCTGAAATGAAGTAGAAGACATTGGAAAACATGTAGAAGACATGCCAAGATACAAATTTCCTCCATACCATTTCTTGGAAGAGAGTTGTATTTCCAGTGTCTCCATGTTTCCTTTTTCTTGCTTGATAACCTCTCTTTTTATGTCAGCAGACCAAAAAAAAAAGGTGGGGGAAGGCATTCCAGATAGAGGGAAAGCAGGAACAAAGATAGGGCTGAGTGAATTGTGTTTCAGAGACGTAAGAACTGATGATTTTTGCTGAGCAGTCTTAAGAAGACAAGATTAGAGTGGTGAGGTATAGCCAGAAGGCATTGAAAATCAAAGGTAATTTGGTTGTATCTAAGAAGCAAGAGAAAGGGAAGACATGGAAAAGTTGAGGGAATGAGCAGTCCAGATACGGGGAAGTGCATTCCAGAGGGAGCAGTAGGTGTAAAAATGGGTGTATCCCTGCTGTATTCAGGATCAGCAAGGGGCCTAGTATAGCTGGAATAAGTGGAGTGAACAGGGTTGGAATAGTAGATGAAGTTACTCAGATTTTCCAAATATGTATTGACAGATTTTATTGTACAGTATTAAAAAATCATTAATACTGCTACCACTTTTATCATAAAAACCTGTAAGTATTGAGAAGCTGTCAAGCTCAAGGTGGTAGATACAAGTTCTAGAAAATTTTAAATTTTGCTTGATTTTTATCATTGTCAACAAATATTTTCACTTATTTTCCTAGAAGTGACAGTTTGACTTTATTTTGAGAAAATGTCTGCTAAATGACCTAATCTGAAAGCCCTAGTTTTTTTTTGTTTTTTATATATCTTTATTGATTTCAGAGAGAGGAAGGGAGAGGAAGAGGAAGAGATAGAAACATCAGTGATGAGAGAGTTGTCATTGACCGGCTGCCTCCTGCACGGCCCCGACTGGGGATCAAGCCAGCAACCTGGGCATGTGCCCTGACCAGGAATCGAACCGTGATCTCCTGGATCCTAGGTCGATGCTCAACCGCTGAGCCATGCCCGGCCGGGCTGAAAGCCATAGTTTTTGAATGTCAGCCTTTCTTTCTAGTAAGAATAATATTCCTTAAATAATAATACTTGTAAAAAGTGGCTAATTCAGTTCACAAAACAAACACAGAATGGCTTTTTCTGGTGAGAACTGTGGTACCCTGCTCCATAGCAAAACTGCTTTATGTGTTACATATACTTCCCATTTTACTACACAGAATATCAGAAAGTAAGTATACTCAAAGGTTATGATTTAATAAAAATCATTCTTACTGCTTCATTAGGGACATTCTTAAGTGAAGGTGGCATGTTTATTTTGTTATTTTGCTGCAAGTGTGCAGTGTTGAAGAATACGACAACTGTTAGTACAGACTGGTGCCACTGCCTTGATTTATGCTACGGCACCAGCAGTTTTACCCATCAGTGCTTTTGCATCTTCAGTGCGAATGTCAACACTGTGCAGAAGGCAAATAATGACTTAGTATTATTTATGAAAATACTTTAACCTTGTGGACCCTCTGAAAGGGTCTTGGCAACTTCCAGTGCTCAACAGACCATCCTTGACAACTGCTGGTGCTCAAGGGTATATAAAAAATTTCTAAAGATCAGACCCTGCCCAAGACTAATGTACATTTAAGATGAGGTCACAAATAGAATATAAGGTAGAGTATAATAAACACCAGATAAGAGCTACAGACTTCTGTAGATATTCAGAAGAAAGATGATAATCAGCTGAGGCAATATCAATAGGATTGGCGTTTGAAATGGACTTTAAAAGATAGGAAGATTTCAATAAACAGATCTTTGGGGTAGTAGAGAGTGTCTCTTTCATGTAGAAGCAACAGCATGAAGCTAGAGGGGTAGATACTTACGGGACTTTGGGAAAAAATCATTTCATCTCTTTGGACTTCAGTTCCCTAATCTATAAAACAAGGCGGTTGAATTTGATCATTTAGGTTACCTCCAAGTGTAAAGGTGCAAGATTGCAAGTAGTAGCTTTGTAAAGTTTTGCTGTCGGCATTGTTGTTGTTAGGAACAGAAATATTTAAACAATTGTAATTTAAATATATTTAATGTTTTAAAAAATATAAATTAAGGTATTTGCTTTATGTATACTATTGCATTTATCAGTGTATAAAATGTATAGGAAACACATTCTAAATGTTTTTTTTTTCATTTTTATAATCAATAAATTCATTTTATTACCTCGTATTTTTTTTTTTTTATGTCAGAGGATGAAATAGAGGTACACTTGCAGTGTAATAAAATATACTTAGTACTCTTACTGTATTAGACTTTTTTTAGTGTGTCCATTGCTAGAATTCATAATAATTCCCTTACTCAAAGTATTTGAGGATTTAAATATTTGTTGAGTCATTATTTACAGGCACAGTACCACAGATTGGTCCCACTTCGTGATTTTTACTTTTTAAAAATAACTATTTCAATTACTATATGAAGTACTTTAAATTTGGCTAATTGAAAATATGGTTGCTTCTGGGTTTTTAGACATTTAGAGAACAGATTGATGCAGGAAAATATACTTATGACAAAAATTTCCCCTTTTGACATTATTAATTGCTGATTTTCCTTGAGAATAGTAATTTTTTATTATTAATTATGTACTCTGTAGTATCTAATACCGGGCCTTATAGTAGTACCCTAGTCAAGTAAATATTGGTTAAATTGAAAATAATTTTAATGTAGAATTTTGTAGATGCTAATGTTTTTCTTTGAAACATTGGGTTTCTATAGCAAATCTGAATTTTCAGTAAATTATCATGTGTGGTTTTTTTCAATGTCTAGTGTGACTTTAGCTTAAATGTTACTGATGAATTATTTTCTCAGATGATTAATATGAATATCTTGTGTTTTATGCAGAGATTCTTGAGTAGAATGGTATATTTTACCAACCTTTTGTTATTGACTCTTTTAGGAATGGATCGTGATTATGGCCCTGGATCTTATGGAGGTCTGACATTCAAGGATATTTATCTAAAAATTCTTCTTTTGAGTGCCAGTAAAGGTGAGCGTCATTTAATTTTTTTCTTTTTAAACTCTTTATAGGGATGGATCGTGACTATGGCCATGGATCCTATGGGGGTCAGAGATCCATGGACTCCTACCTAAACCAGTCATATGGCATGGACAATCACAGTGGTGGTGGTGGGGGTAGCAGGTAAATTGCTTAATCACTTAGCCAAATAATTAGAAGACTATAAAATTCTGGATATTTTAATTTAAGAGTTCCTTAGGCATGTCACTATTTGGTTTTGAATAATCACCTTAAATATTTAAAGGTGTTAACTAATGGTTATAAAAATTATCTTGGAATCTTTGGCAGACATTAGTTTAGGAACCTTAGATAACTTATCTTTTCAATATAATAGCATTAAGATTTGTCTGTTTTTAGCAGTGAATATTTCTTTTACTTCTTTTACTTTTAACTCATCAATCAGAATGGTCTGAACAAATGATATAAAATCTTATTAGAAATATTATATATGAAGCTTTTTCCTAATGATTTTAAAAAAATCTTTCCTAATGTGGGGTGCTATTAAAAGCAGCAAAGCAGACTTTGACTAGAATGGGTTTAACTGAACTAGCCTAGCCACATTCAGTTTCTAAGAAACATTTAAGATAGTTATTCTTTTAATTTTAATTTTAAAGTAAGTTGTAAGAGCATATTATAATAAAGATGTTCTTTATATCATGTCTAGGTTATTTATTGGCAGGTACTACTGACACCATAACCACTTGTGCTCTAGGCTAGGAGCATTGTATTAAAGCCATGAACACTATGCCTTTTGCTTATTTTAATGCACTAGAGTTTAGAATGTATTTATATGTTGCTATTGATACTGTGGAAAGCTTAAACCTAGTTGAACTACTACAGGCTTTAGGGTTGACCATATTTCAGGCAAAGGGGGTTCACTTTGTGAGACACAAAGATTCCTACTAAATAGCAGTAAAACTAGTTAGGAAACATTTGAAACTATCGTCCTTCTTCATAAATTGAAGGATCCGGATTCCTTAAGGATGGACTGAATCATGCTTACTTTTCTTCTTTCTGCTTCAAGTGTGCCACTATGGTTTATAGTAGAGAAAAAGCAAGAAAATGAAGTTATGACAATTTTGCTTATATGATAGATGTTTTGAAAAATGTAGTTGGAAAGAGGAATAATTTTTATACGGTTACTAGTATTCGGAAGTAAATAGTACCTTCTATTTAGTGATCTGTAAATAATTGAAGTCATGTAACATTTAAATGTTTTACTATATCAGTTATTGCCTTGTTACATTGTAAATGTAATGTGTATGAATTATGTAGATGTTATTGTTTATCTCGTGTAATTGTGGGCCTTTATAAAACTGTGTTGTAAGGTGTCAAGCATACTTTGGATTTGTGAGAAGTAAGATGATTCGTTTCTTCTGTTGACTCTTATTAAAACCTTGAGGAGACTGTGTGCTCCCTTTTTTAGAGTAGTTTTATGTGATAATTATCTGCCAGGAATAATTCTTCAAATAATTGAAGACATTATAAAATGTATTCTTTCCCATCTGCCTTGAAAATTTATATGCAAAGGGTATATGCTGGTGGTCCTTTACTTTTATGTTCTATTTTATGTGCTTATCCTTCTAGATTTGTTAGATTTACTAGTCTGTAAGTGAAAAGTGACTGAGGATTAATTATTGACCTTAGCCAGAGTTTGGCAGATTGTCAAATTTTATAACCAGAGATATTTCTCCAAATTTGGATTACTACAAATACAATGAAGCAGTTTTGTGATACAGATTATTGAGGGTGCAAAAGGATCTCTTCTGTGTCATATTAGCCTACATCTGTGTAGTCTTCAATTTGTGTCCCTATTGAAAGCCAAAATACTGTAAAATTTTGTTTTTTCCAATATTGGGGATGGATTCAAAGAAAGTTTGAGTAGTTGTGAATTTTAGCAAATGACTTTTCCTAAGACTAGGGCTGGGCTAAGTAATTATAGACAAATCTTTTTAATAAAAATAGAAAAGCTGCTAAAGCAGATTTTTAAGCTAAGCTTTACTTAACTCAATTCATGTTTAAAAACTGACTCAGGTAGCTTTCTATCTGGTCTCATGTTGAATTGCCCAGCCCTAATCAAGTGTGAACAAAAGTAGAACTATGCAAACCAGTATGGTATAAATGAATTTTAGTTGATAAATGTCATCTGATAATTTGTCTTTTGAATTGTCTAACATTAGTAAGCTTACTTTTGTTTTTTCCCTCACTGTGCAACTTTTCCAGGTTTGGACCTTATGAGTCTTACGACTCCAGGTCTTCTCTGGGTGGGCGAGATCTGTACAGATCTGGCTATGGTTTTAATGAACCCGAACAAAGCCGCTTCGGAGGTAGTTATGGTGGTCGATTTGAGAGCTCCTACCGGAATAGCCTTGACTCTTTCGGAGGTAGAAACCAGGGCGGGGCTAGCTGGGAAGCACCTTACTCCCGTTCAAAATTGAGGCCTGGGTTTATGGAGGACAGAGGAAGAGAGAATTACTCTTCCTACAGCAGTTTTTCTTCACCCCATATGAAGCCTGCACCTGTAGGCTCTCGGGGGAGAGGAACGCCTGCTTATCCTGAAAGTACGTTTGGAAGCAGAAACTATGATGCTTTTGGAGGACCATCAACAGGCAGAGGCCGAGGCCGAGGAGTAAGTACAACAGAATCTTTTCAGATTCTTTTCACTAGTCACTCTTTTAAACCCTTTCAAGACCATGGTTTTCAACTAGAATAAACACTGTTCATCCCAGTGTATTTTGAAACCAAAGCTGAGTCATTAGCATAATTTTTAGGTTGCCTGTAACACTTTCTCCAGCACCTCAGAAAATAAGTGGCAGTGTGAGATGATTGTTTATAAAGTTTTGCCAAATCTCCCTTTATTAAAAAGGTGAGGATGTTAGGTTTGGTCTAAAAGGGGTTAAAAGGAGTTGCATTTTTCCTTGTAAACACTAGCAGTTTTGCTAGTGGGACAGTTCTTGGATTATTGTAAAAGGTAACTGAACCCTTTTGGAGTTTTTGAGTAGGTTAAAGGTGCAATGTATGATAAAATGTTTATACTTTGCTACTAAACTCTAGCATGTAGAATTTCTTCAAAGCTCCATATTTCACATTAAACACAAGAGACCAAAAGTTGGTGATAGTAGAGGGTAGCTTAGCCTTGTTTACGTGGTGAAGAAGTTGATACGTATAATAGACTGTAGAATGATTTGTGGTCAGTATAATTTTGCTAACTCTCTTACAATATGTCCTATTGCTGGGTGTAATATTTTCTCTGTGTCACTAGTTTTACTATTGAAAAATAATTTCCTACCTGTATATGTTCATGGCTCCTTCCTAGGAAGTAATATTTTGTAAATTCTTGCTTAGATGAGCAGATACACTAGTCTTCAAGTGTTTAATTTCAGGATATATAGTGCTAAGATTATGCCTATGTTCTTAGGTAACTTGACTGACTGAAATTTTACCTAGTAAGTGTATGTAGATTATGGGGTTATTATGTAGTTTGATTATATAAAGAATACTGTATTTTCGCTATAATGTAAGAAATGTTTTTTTTTCTTTTTTGAGTCAGTTGCTCTTAATATTCTGTTTGCAGAGGGAAGTACTTCTGATAGAAAATGTAGTAGGGCACACATTTTTGACTGTTTATTAGCTTTTGGTACATCAGTGTAGTGTGTCATACTTGTTTAGAAATTTTGCATTTATAACAGTTAACTCTTATGTAAAATGCATTGCACCTTTAATGGATAATTAATGAAGATTTTTCTGATGTGACTGTATACATTACCTGGAAACACTAATTTATATCTACTAGGTTAGCTAGGTATTCTAAGCATAGTATGCAAATGTAAGTAACTGATTATGTTGCTATTCTACCATACTTTATGATTGAAGGTTAATTGAAAATAGTTGGGGTAAAATTTGAAAACACTTAATATTTTTCATGCTGTATACTACTTTATAGGCAAATGATTTTTTTCTTAATGAGACTTCAAATACCAATTTTGTTTTCATAATAGAAAAACAGGTATTCCTGTATTTTGTATTCAGCATTCTAGTCTGAATGTACTTTTCTTTCTTTCCTCCTGTTAATGAAATAGATGAGCCAATAGGATTTTCTTTTTTAATCTTCACTTGTACAATTCCCATTGGATCCTTCTCTTCAGATTACTCCTCAATCTTTATCTTCTAAAAGTAAGGTTAGCAGAACAAATTCCTATGGACATGTGGCCTCTTGGTGTAGTGGATTTTATTAATGATAAGAGAAGAGGAAGGGACACAGAGTCATTTGGTTGCCTGACTCTTCCGTCTATAAACTTTTGCTTCTCAGGCTTCTGGGTCAGTATATGTTTCTCTAGGTAAGAATGTGAATGGAACGTCAGATGCAATTCTTTATCTGAAGTGTGTCTTGGAAGTTGATGCATGGTAATGCTTTAACTCTCCTATTTCATACTAATGTTCCATCTCGCCTTCTCATTCATTCCCTTTTTCAACAGGGAGAAATCCTAAATGATTTCTGGATCTTTTTTACTTCAGACTTCAAATATGGTCTTGTTTGTGTTTCTTAGTTTTAAGCCAGGCTTTAGTAAAATAAAGATTTCTTTTAAGGTCTTTTCATGGGAAAATATCAATTAGGAACTCTGAAGAGGAGTTGTCAGAGAGTTGTACAAGTGGTAATATTTTGACAGGCACATATGTTGTTCATGATCTCAAGTAATTTTGAATTGTAAAAATAAAAAAATAGGAAATATCCATATTTGTTCTACTGGAAATAAAAATACTAATTCACTGGATTTGAGTGATGTAATAATTTACAAAGTTTTCCAATGTGTTTATTCATAGTGGACATGTAAAATTTAGTTACATTCTGGGGAATTTTCAGGTAAAAATTATTAGGTAACATGTAAGTTTTGTATGAATTCATTCTTTATCTTTGGATGTTATACTAATATTTCTTGATTTCACAAATTTGCAGCACATGAGTGATTTTGGAAGCATTCATAGACCTGGAATTGTTGTTGACTATCAAAATAAATCCGCCAGTGTGACAGTTGCTGCTACAAGAGGAATAAAGAGAAAAATGATGCAACCATTTAATAAGCCCAGTGGAACCTTTATCAAGAAACCCAAGCTAGCAAAACCTGTGGAGAAGATGAGCCTCAGCAAATCACCCAGTAAGTCAGAAAGCTTAACTGCTATGCTTCAGGGTACTTTTTACCTTTTTAAAAATTCAGTGCTTTTAGATAATTTTTTCATGTTTATATAGACAGACTGCAGCCAAAAGGTGGAAACAATGCAGTTGTTTATTAACAAATGAATGGATAAAAGAAAATGTGATGTATCCACACAATGGAATGTTATTCAGCCATTAATAAGAAAGGGGGCACACTGATATATGGTACAACATGTGAATGAACCTTGAAAACACTATGCTGAATAAAAGAAGCCAGACAAAAAAGGCTACTATATTGTATGATTCTATTTATATGAAATATCCAGGATGGAAAGCAGATTAGTAGTTACCAAAGGGTTGGGGAAAGGTTAAGTGGGGAGTGACCAGTTAATGGATGTAGGCTTTCTGTTTGGGGTGATGTAAAATTTCTGAAACTAAGTGATGATGGCACAACATTGCGAAGTACTTAATATCACTGAATTGTTCACTTGGAAATGGTTAAAATGGTAAATTTTACACCAGGTATTTTATTACTTTATTATATTTGCATTAAAATGTTTTTAAAAAGGATGAACCTGCTTTTATTCTAGAGTTCATACATTTTCAGAATTTTTGGAAAGCTGCTATAATATGTATCAGTTTTTGTATCCAAGGCTCCCCAGTTTTCATTTAATTTTCATTTTAATTCAGGGTCAGGTTATTTCAGTGTTTCTTAAAGCCGTGTTCAAGATGATTTGAAGTCAACAATTTTCAACCTTTTTCATCTCAGGGCACATATAAACTAATTACTAAAATTCTGCGGCACACCAAAACATGTTATAGTTTTTGCTTATCTGACCAAAAAATAGGTATAATTTAGATTCATTCACACTGGATGGCTTGTATTCAAATAAAGTTTCACATATACTGGTTAATCTTGAACTCTGAAAATTTTTTTTTTTTTGGTGCGTTCAGTTTAGACTATCACCAAGTAAACCTTGTATGTCTGTACTTTATAAACTGGGACTGGAAAGGGAGAATGCAAAAATGATCTGTAGTCTTGACATTTTTGTCTGCTATCCTAGCAAAAATTGATCCAAAAAATGAAGAAGAAGAAAAGCGGCGAATTGAGGCTCGACGAGAGAAACAGAGGCGCAGAAGGGAGAAAAACAGTGAGAAATATGGAGATGGATACAGGTTTGTGCTTAGTAGTCAGAAAATTGGGCTTGTTATAAAACCATTTTCTAGAAAAGGCAATCAGTTGGAATGTGGAAAAATTCCTGAACATCAAATGAAAAGTTTTGATCAAAGATATATAGGAATGCTTTGAGTTTTTATATTTATATACAGTTACCACTTAGAAAATATAAGAGAAAAGAAGTCCCATTCAATAATGATAATAAAGTCCAGAAATACAATGTTCTTAAAAAGAAATGTATGTTTTAACATGAAGAAAACCACGAAGTCTTTGAGATTTGACTGTATGGGACATCGTGATATGTACATTCATCCTCACCTGAGGATATGTTCACTGATTTGAGAAAGAGACAGATGCAGACATCAGTTGGCTGCCTCCCTTATGTGCCTGACCAGGAATCAACCCCGAACTCTTTTGGTGTACAGGACGATGCTCCAACCAACTGAGCCACCTGGCCAAGGCCATATTGATATTCTTGGATAGGAAAACTAAGTTTTACAAATACATCAGGTCTTTCCAATCCTGATTCCCAACAAAATTTTAAAAAAGAAGAGTAAATGAGTAGATACTAGCTTTTCTAGATATTGAAACATTAGGAAGCTGTCATAGTTAAAAATACGTGGTACTAGAAAAAGGTAATCAGTGTAACTGGATTATTAACCTGTAAGCAGATGTGTAAGAATGTAATGTGTAATAGAGAAGGTGCTGCAGATGAAAAGGGAGTTGCTTGAACAACTGAGCAATAACAAGGAAAAAATAGTTTAGACCCTCTTCTTGCACCAGCGAGGATGAATCCAGTTTAATTTTGAAACCTTAAAAAATTGGAAAATAACAGGAAAATAAAATGGAATATTTTAATCTTTGCAAGAAGGTTTTGTTTTCTAGGCTTAAAAGTTCTACAGTAAATTACAAAGGGAATGATGACCAAATTTGTTTAGAGAAAAATTTTAAGCTTGGAAGCAAACAGACTTGGAAAATGATATAAACATGAAAAATGACTAATGTTGAAGTTAATAAACATTACTGAACCAGAATTTTCTTTTTTAAATTTATTTTTATTGTTGAAAGTATTACAGATATCCCCTTTTTTCCCCATTGATCCCCTCCACTCCGCATCTGTCCCACCCTCAGGCCTTCCCCATGCTATTGTCTGTATCTCTGGGTTATGCATGTATGCATATAAGTTCTTTGATTGACCCCCGCCTGATCTTCCCTCTGAGATTCGTTGTCCCATGGTTCTATGTCTCTGGATCTATTCTGTTCATCAGTTTAATTTTGAACCACAATTTTTAAAAAAATTCAGAAACAAGATATTTGATACATAATTTGATGAAAGAACAGCTAGATCATCATTTTAGGGTAAATAAACTGGAAATTTAAATAATAGTATAGTATTTTATTAGCAAGGACAAAAGAAATACTGATTTACTAACTGGGATACAGTCAAAAGACACTATTATTTTCTGATGACTATATAATATAGCTACTGGGAAGCAACTTATCAGTTTTAAAAAATGTCTTGAATTTTTTTATGCTTTTGATCTCTCCAAGAAAATAACCTCAAAATATAGAAGAGTTTAATCTAAAAAGATGCCCATTACAACATTATTTGTAATAGCTCCAAATACTAGTAATAGAATGTGACCAAGCATATGTAAGCTTAGATACATCCCTTCATGGCTCTTTAGGCTATTGGTTATAAAACTTGAAACAATATGCAGAAAATGCAGGCAAAATAGAAAAATACAGGGTGGGACAAAAGTAGGTTTACAATTCCTATGGAAAATAATACCATAATTCATAAATAATAATACAAAAACAAACTATCATGTACTCATAAGATGTAAAGTTATGCATGGAAAAAAAGGGGATTACTAGGAAATTTTTTTGAAAAGATAATATTGATACTTACCTTTTTTCCTCTTAAATCTGCCCAGGTACTACTTATGCTAGGGAAATACAGAATACAAAATTTAAAAAGTAAATTCACTATTTCCTCTATTCAAAATACAGTTTTGCTCTATAAAAGTTAACTTGTGCATCATGAAGGGAATGAAATATTTCACCTAAGTGGATTTTCTAGATGTCTAAAACTTTATCTTAGTTCAGAAGATAGCATTTTAAGAGAAGAATCGGCAAACCTTTTTAAGAAGGTAATTTTTGCCCGGCCGGGCGTGGCTCAGCGGTTGAGCATCAACCTAGGATCCAGGAGATCGGTGTTTGATTCCTGGTCAGAGCACATGCCCGGGTTGCGGGCTAGGCAGCCGATCAATGACTCTCTCATCATTGATGTTTCTATCTCTCCCCCCCCCCTTTCCTCTCTCTGAAGTCAATAAAGATATGAAAAAAAAGGTATTTTCTAACTATGAGTTTTTTCCCACATTAAAGGGGGTACTCTCTGTTATTAATTGGTCTTAATATGTACATTGATTTTGTTCATGTAAAATGTAGTAAAATAAAATTCAGTTGCATCTGATTGCCAGATTTTAGTTGACTAGGTATTACTTGTGTAATCTTTGTGGCCAGCTTTAATCACCTTTGACTAAGTTCTTTCTGGTTTGTTACTCCTAATTTGTTGGGACCTGAGAAATAATAGGATTAAACTTACTAAGAATTAACTCATAAAAAGAAGTTTGAAGGGGCAGCCATCTTGTGGTCCTTGGGACTTACCTCCCACTCTGATATCACTTCCTCTTGACAAGGGTAATGGGCATAGTTATGTTGGGTGCAGAAATAAATTGAAATGCATGCTTTGTATCAAATGTGAGGAGTTCAAAGATGATTTTATATTATATGGTTAATTTTTCCATTTATTTACCCCATGAATACTTTATCCATTAAAAATTACAGATTTGGATATGGTATATCCATGTTAATATAATATGTATTGTGATTTGGAGAAAATAAAAGAAGTGAGCTTTCATCTAGCCGTTTATTCCATAATTCTAAATATAAACCTGATGACATAACCAAAAGAGTATCAGTTCTATTAAATTGCCATTTTAGGATAAAAATCTTTTAAAATTGTCTAAAATAATTTTAATTTATTAGAGCAGTTTTATTTTGAGTTAGGATAAGACAGTGACAGTAAATAACTATTCTTATGATATATATATATGTAGATTTGAGTGCTTTTAATATGATAAAGAGGATGGAAAGGTAGGGAACCTGGTGGGAAAGGGATGGTTTTTTGAGAGGTGTAGACAAACAGTATATGGTGAAGAGCGTCAGAAGAAAGTACAAAGTTGTTGTATAGGAGAAGACTTCTGCAGGGGGTGCAAGGAAATGGATCAGTGGGTTTGAACAGATTGAAGAATGATAGGCAATAGGAGCTGTTAGGCAGCTCAGGTAGAGGTCATGATTTGAGGTAAAACAAAGAAACAGGAATGTTTCATTTGTATTCAGGAGATGGAAAGCTATGTAGATTGAAATGACTGTAGTGGGGTGAAAGGTGTAATCGTAATCTAATTAAAACATTTAATAGAGACATACTATGTGCCAGGTACTGTTAAATGTATTAGTGGGTGAAGCCAAATAGATAGGAGAGGTTAAGAGCTTTTCTAAATACCAGTTGAAAGCATTTTAACTTTTTTTTTGAGCCTTAAGGAGCCAATGAAGCCTTTTGAGCAGTAGTGTGCTGTTGCCTCCGTTAGGAAATAATAATAATTAATTGAATAATTACTTTGTGCCAGGAACTGTTCTACGGGCTTTATATGTATTAATTTTTTTAAATCCTCATCTCATTAAGAAAACTAAGGCCCAGAGGAGGAAGTTAAGTAACTTGTGCAAGGTCACACAAGGGGGCTAGGTATAAACCCAGCACTTGGCTCCAGATCCCATACTCTTAACCAGGAATATAAATCGAATAGTAGTGTAAGGAATTGATTGGAAACTGGAGACTGGACACAGAGAAACCAGTTAGGAAACTGTTGTCATAATTCTAGGAAAAGGAAATAAGAGTATGTAAGATAGGAACAATTAAATGGGAGAAAATGAAGAAATTCATTTTGGGATATCCCGAGCTTCAAAATGCATGCATTTGTCCAGACGAGGACTGTTAGTCATCTTGAAGTGGTCTTTAGGAAGCAGGGCTCTTGGTCACCCGAGAGCTCCAAAGGAGTGAATTATGGTTGTCTGATTTCCCACCTGGCTGTGTTGATGCTACTTTAGTAGTTTGGAAACTGGAGGATGGAACAGTGTAAAACAAGTAGTGGAACTTTGGAAATTGATACTTCTCAAGGTTTGTTTTGGCTTTCTCACCCTGCTAGGCTAGAAGTGGAGAGTTTAGGATTAGATGAAGTAGATACATTGATTCCATCTTTCATAACCAGCAACTCCAGGGTGGGCCAGAAATGCAAAGTAGTATGATGGCAGTGTTGTCCAAATAGGTACTTAAGGAAATACAGTTTTTTCTGACTAAAGGTAAATTTACATCAACCATAAAATGGAAGAAAGGAAATCATGCTAGTAAAATTAGTTTCATTGTTATCGTTATATGAACTCTGTAAGTAAGGTAATATTTAAAGAAAAACTTTTTTTCCCTTATAGAATGGCATTCACATGTTCATTTTGTAAATTTCGAACGTTTGAAGAAAAAGATATTGAACTGCATCTGGAAAGTTCTTCACACCAGGAAACATTAGATCATATTCAGAAACAAACTAAATTTGATAAAGTAGTTATGGAGTTTTTGCATGTAAGTAGCTGTTTTGAAGTGAAAAGCACCTTATCTGACATTTCAATTTCTTATTTTTTTATAGTTCTCCATCTCCCATTTTATGTTTCTAAAATTTTAATTTACTCAGTTATTTTAAAATTAGCCCAGAATTAGATGTGAATTCCTTTTCTGTAATAGAATTTAGATTGTTAGTTGAGGGAACATTTTATGTTTCTCACAGTGATTTCTGGCAGAGGTGTCAGGAAAAGAATTCCTCTAACAACTGTGTATTGATGCAGCATCAGCTGTCACCTGTTGAGGGGTCTGTGTACAAGGTGTTGTGCTGTGTACTTTGATATTTTATTAGAGCCTCATAACAGCTCCTTTTTATCATGAAAGATACTCAGAACAGTTTAGTGACTCAGTAAGTAGTGGAGTCTGAACTCAGAGAGCCAAGTGTCTGTTTAATGTCCTTTGTATTATGAGTGTGTGGTCATCAGTTCATCAGTTTTTCCTGAATATTTATGAAATGTGCTGTGCAGGCACTGAAGAAACAGCACTACTTTCAATGAACAGACAACAATTAGAAATATAACACACTCACACATACACAGATGACACAGTTAAGTGGAAGGGCCAAGAGTGATAGTATAGGCAGAAGGGGTTTGGAGTAATGGGAGGATAGTTGGGGTCAGGGATGCTTAAAGAAGGTGCTAGACCTGGACTGCTAATTATGCATACAGTTAATTTGAGCAGAAGAGATGGAATTGTTAGCAAGTTAGAAATATAATGACTGTTCACCACTCTATATCCATGCAGAATTGTGCCCCTTAATTAAAATTTTATGCAATTCGTTTCTAAACTAGTTCCTGTCATTTAGGACTTATGTACTTACCTGCCCAGAGAAGACCTCTTGACTAGTCCAGCTCTCTTTGATTTCTCTTACTCCATGTGCCTAAAATACATTTTGAAAAGTGAATACTTTTTGTAGTTTCCTGGTACTTTCTGATAGTCTTTTCAACTAAATTAAAGCTTCTTGAGAACAGATACTAGTTCTTATATAACACTTACTGTTAACTTTCATGGGCTGAGCATGGTGTTGAGCATATGCTAAGTGCTTACTGGTAACTTTCTGTATTCTTCCTGTTTTGTTTCCTAGGAATGTATGGTGAATAAATTCAAGAAAACATCTATTCGTAAACAACAGACAAATAATCAAACGGAAGCAGTCAAAATAATTGAAAAAGATGTTATGGAGGGTAAGTATTTAAACAAATTGTTTTAGAAATTTACATGTATATTTTACCTATAACCTATTTCAGTGTAAATAATGCCCACTAGAGTGACACAGTACATAGTTACATGTGGTAGCCCTGGGTGGGTTATCAGAAGTGAACTTTGACTTCCTGTTCTCATGCTTACAAGTTTATCATTTCCCTTACAATGGCTTTCACTTCAGTTTTAGAGGAAACATCAACTTTATCTCTGGGTGGAAGTTCTGTCATCTGCCTTCTGTCTTTCTTATCCCTTCTCATTTCCTTATGGACTTTTCCTCGTAGTTCTCACCTCCTTAAGGACTTTTGCTCTTCTGTTTTTCAGTCTTCCCTTCATTTTTAATTCCCTCCCTGAAGCCTGTGCTCTTATCTTAAAAACAAACAAAAAACCCAAAGGAGCAAAGGAAAATAAAAACAGACATTAGTCCACCTAAAGCCCGCCTTTCCCTTTAAACAGCCGTGCTGCTTTAGCATAGTCCCCGACCCACAGTAGACAGTTTTCTGCTACTGTGTATTGAAACTGTTCTGACAGACCAATACCAACTTCAGTAGATTCTTTTGAATCATTACCTTATTTCTGTAACATTTTTCACTGATAACTTTATTCTCTGAATCTATTTCCTCCCTTGGTTTCTCTGGTATTTCACTGCCCTTTGTGTCTCTTTCTTTCTGTACCAGACTTTTAGAGTTTGGTATTTCCCAGTACTCTGTCATTAGTCCCATTATCATCTCTCTCTCTCTTTTTTCCTGATGAATTCATTTACTTACAGAGCTTAAATTAACACTTTTGTTAATTACTTGTGCATTTATAGCACAGATGTCTTTTGAACTCTAACCTCACATATCCAAGTGCCTGTTCACATCTCTCTCCAGCACTTCCACAGAATCGACATACCCAAAACCTTATCCTCTCTGCGCATCCTTCAGCCCATGAAGGGAACAAAACAGCCGTGGCCGCTGTGGCCCAATTGGTTGGGCGGCATCCTGTGCACCAAAAGGTTGCTGGGTTCGATTCCCAGTCAGGGCACATGCCTGGGCTGTGGCTCCATCCCTGGTAGGGGGCCTGCAGGAGGCAGCACGTTGATGTTTTGCTTTCACATCCACGTTTCTCTCTTCCTCTCAAAAAAAATCAATTAAAAAAAATCTTAAAAAAGAAAAACAAAAACTCTACAAATACCTCCTTCATTTATGTTGGAAAGTGGCCTCACTATTAAAGTCAGAATTATGAAGTTAATCCTAAGTACTTACTTTTACTTGACTATATTTGTAGCATTGTGTCCTTTAGGTTCCATCTTTTAAATATCTAACAAGTCTGTTTATCTGGTCTTTAAATAATGCATTTGTTCAAATCTTTATATGTTCTTTTGACAATTACAGTATTTCACTAACTAGTTTTCTTCTAGTCTTTCTAACCTGTAATTCTACTGTATTACATCATTACTTTAAGAATTTTCAGTGGCTCCCCCATTCTCTAAAGATACAATTCAGATTCCTAGTCATAGCACAAAGTGCTCTCTATGGTCTAGGCATTTTTCTTTTTCTCTGTCTCTCATCTTTTGTCCTTTCTTTATACTTTGTGCCCCAGCCACACAGAATTACTTGCAATTCCGAGAAAGAGCCATTTTCTCTTACACCTATCCTTTGTATATATTTATACTTTTACTTGTAATAAACCTCTGTTACCATTTTCAAGATCCAACATATGTTGTTCCTTATGAATCTAATTTTGACATCTTTTCCCCATTCCTACCCACCCACATTAATAATCACAGAAATTCTTATTTTACTACAAAAGTCACATTTTTTTCTTTTTCCTTTTCGGGATGACTTGTAGGCATCAGACCATGATTATATAACATGATTAGGAAATATAATGTAGTTATACTTTATAATTTTAATCTTTTATACATATATTCTTAATCTATATGCATATTTATGAGACACAGTAGAAAAACTCAACATAAACCTACATACTCCAATCCTATTTTGGGAAGAAGGAGTATAAATAATTATGGAAACAAAATAGTAAGCTTGATTTGTTTGAAATAAAAATATATGAATCATTTCTTATTATTTGGATTTCCTTTGTAGGTGTCACTGCAGATGACCACATGATGAAAGTAGAGACTGTTCACTGCAGTGCTTGTAGTGTATATATCCCTGCTTTGCATAGCTCAGTTCAACAACACTTAAAGTCTCCTGATCACATCAAAGGGAGGCAGGTAAGTTTGCATCTATCCTGATGAAATCCTTAGATTATTCATCAGTCCCTTATTATCTTTACAGGCCATTGTTTCTTATCTGCCTACTGGTGCACAGTCCTATTCATTTCACCTGTGAATACCTGTAAAGGTAGCTAGAGAGGCAAGTGCACAGTGGTTAAGATTGTGGGCACTGGAGCAAGACTTTTCTGGGTTTGAATTGTGGCTCAGTACATAACCTGTAAATTAACTTTAAGTTTCCTTATTTGTAAAATGGGGATGGATAATCATTGTACTTTTATGGGACTATTTAAAGATGAGGTTAATTAAAATATAAAAGGCACTTAAAATAGTGCCTTGCACATAGTAAGCATTTAGGAAATCATAGCTGTTGTTGAACTGTTCTTTCTATTGACATTTTTTTAAGTTGGAACAAAATTGTGTGTGTGTGTGTTAGGACAAAAAAGAAAGGAAAGATTTGATTATAACATTTTTCTGTGGTTGGGAAAAGTAAATTTAAAAAGTAGGGTTATAAGTTTCTACCTCTTATATTTTTAAAGTAGAATTTACTAAAAATTTCTGGAAGTATTCACTATTTTAGCATATTTCTGTTTATATTGGTTGCTTTTATTTAGTCAAATTTATTTCAAATAAAGATTTTTATATTGTGCAAAGTTTGTTTGAAAAGCAAGTTAAAAAATTTAAATATTAAAGACAGGTGTTTTTTTAAAAAATTGATTTTAGAGAGAGGAAGGGAGAAAGAGAGGCAGAGAGATACATCGATTTGCTGTTCCACTTATTTATAGATTCATTGGTTGATTCTTATATGCTCCCTGACTGGAGATCAAACCCACAACCTTGGCGTATTGGAATGATGCTCTAACCAACTGAGCTACCGGCCAGGGCTACAGACAGGTTTTAAATAGAACATACTTGGATCTTAACTTCATATTTTGTATTAAAGTAAACCTCATTTAACTCAGATTTCTAAAGACTTTTTTAGCTATTTTGAGCACATATAATATTTTTAAAATCCTTGTCTTTCTAGTTTGAAATTCCTTTGATACTTGTTTGGAAACTAGACATTGCATATTATCACAGTACCTTTCCTTCCTCGTATAAAACAGTTTTGTGATAGTTACAGCTCAGAGGTAGACTAATTACGCTAGCTGTATGAAAAACTATTTTTTTCTTTTTTGGTAGCATGAAAATAATAGTTGGAGTAGATGGTGCTGAGTTAGGTGGAGGTAGAATAGAAAGGAGAGAAAGCAACTGTCTAGAAGACCTAGACTTAAGGTACCTGGTGACTGGATGTGCGTTTTTGAAGTTGATCTGCTCATTGAATCTTCATTGTTTTAATCCATAGAAGATTTACATGGTGGTCACAGTAGCTATTGTTGCTTTATGGCTTAATTTGCCAGAAAGTAAATCCTTTAAATCTAAGGATTTGAACATACAATGTTATTTTAATTATGGAAATATTTTTTAAGACATGGTTTTCAAATACTTCAGTGTGTTCTATTTTACTTACAGGCTTTTAAGGAACAAATAAAAAGAGAGAGTGTCTTGACTGCTACAAGCATTTTAAATAATCCGATAGTGAAGGCGCGATATGAACGTTTTGTTAAGGTAAGATGTTAGGGTATCAACTCTTTATGTTATATTTACTGTAGTATTGTAATAATTAAATGTGACATAGTAACTCTTTGTGATGTTTAAATATAGTACCACAATAGGAAGAATTTTTCTTAACATCTTGTATATAAGTAAAACATCTGTTTTTCGTAATTGCTGGGATTTGTGTGGGTGAGAGTAATAAGCCGTTTCTCCCTCAACCACTTTCTAGCTCTGGGTCATGTGAGAGATGCTGAGGAGTCTGATAGAAGATCAGAATGTCAGTTTTATTCTCGATTTTTAGAAAAAGGTTAACTTGAAGGATATGTTTTGGATGTGTAGTTCTAATATTTACTCCTAAATTAGATAGGCTTCTGTTCCCCAACCTCTGTTGCTGGTTCAGGTGGATAGCAACAGCTTTCCCCTAGTTTACCACATGACATAAAACAGACTAGAATGTATCCTTCTATTGCTAGGAGGATCCTAAAGAAGGGACCCAGAAGGGATTGAGTTGTACATGTCCAGTTTCTTCTTGCAAGTATATTGATTGGATAAGTCATTCTTTTTCTTTGAATGAAGTTGGAGGGGAAGTAGGAGATCAACTATGTTGCTTCAGAAAAAGCTGCCTTATGTAATCAGGAGGCCAGGAGGGAAGTTTGCCCCTAATGTTAGGAAACTCAAATGTGAACAGTTAGGTAAACCTGGCCCACTGCTTCTCACAGTTTTTGCCCTATAGTACTGAGGAAGCTTTTCTTCACATAAAATCCTTCTTTACATGTTATGGACATCTAGAGTACAAAAAGTAATAGAAATATTAGATTTTAGTTTTTTATAAAATAATGCCTTATTTAAAAACTATCCTACTCTGAAGAGTTATGTTGAAGATTTGCAGAAGTCTCTTATTTATATTAGTAACTATTTTATAAATTAGAGAAGTTTTATTTATTTTGGCTGTTAACGGGTGATGAACCACGTCCTCTTTGAAGAAGCCTGATATGGAATGTTAACTGATGGTAGTGGTGCCAATTCAGTGCCAATGGGAATCTCCAATTTGGTGTGTGTGGTGAACAAGGAAACTTTATTCAGGGCAAAACAGCTTAATTGTGATACAGCATGGCTGTGAGGCAGCCCTGGGGCAAGTCCCTCTCCACCTAGACAGCTCTGCTCCACACCTGTTTGTGCTTCACAGTCTGCTCTGTTCTATGCCAGTGTGCTCTGGCCTGCACTGGTCTGCTGTGCTCTGCTCCAGTGAGACATCTTCGGTGTTTCAGCTCAGACAGGGGGATGCAGTATTCAGTCTTTGATGGAAAGGGAAAGTGCGCTGTCAGAGCCAGAGGGGAGCTGTCTTACATGGACAGAACTTCCTGTCTCTGGTCCTGATTTGTCTGTCCTCATGAAAGTGAGGACTCCAAATCCTCACAGTTTGGTTGGTCCAAAAGGCACTGTCCTGATTGGTCAGAATAGAGCTGTACAGCTTCCTTTGGATAGGGGAAGCCTCAGCCCTATTGGTTGAAATAAGATTCCAGGAACTCATCTTCATAAGGGCTGGTGCAGACGGCAGGAAGGCAGTTCAGGGCAGAGGAAGGGAGTTCAGGGCAGGCTTCTCTCCAAAGTGCAGTTTGTGTGGGATGCCCCTGTGTAGAAATGGCTGCTAGGCTCTGTTCTTTTTTTTAAAAAATTTGAACCTACTTAACCACTAGGAACCTTCTTGGTAGTTGTCTTCTCAGGGTTTACAATACTTAATAACCATTAAATTATCCTTCAACCAAGTGCCTTCCAAGTTGAATAAATCTCAGTTTTTTGTGTTCCTTAAGGGCTTATTTTCTGATTTGTTAACCATATTTGCCATTGTTTACTACATTCTTGATACCATTTTTAAAAAGCGAATGCAGCACTAATTGAAATCCAATTTTGGGGACATAAGGCATCAAAAAGATAGGAACTAAGTTAGGAAACATTGTATTTTTTGCCTTCTGTATCACAAGCTTCTGAGAAGTTAATGCTTTCTATTGACATATGAAAATAATTTTTAAAGATAGAATAATACAAATTAGAATTTCCACACAGGGTTTTCAGGCTACACTTTAGAATCACTTTATGGAAAAAGAGAGATCACTGGTAGGAGTGTCTTGCTTATGGACCTATTTTGGAGAAAGTGCCCGAACTGTGGAGAATTCCTCAAGAACCTGGTTACTCTGAATGTGATCCAGGGATTGGCATTACCTGGGGGCTCATTGGAAATGTAGTTTCATTTTTAGTTCATGTCCAGGGCTATTGAATAAGAATCTTCATTTTAACCAGATGCCAGTTGATTCATTTGCATTAAAATTCAAGAAGCACTGATGTCACATTGCTCAATGATTTCCCTTTGCTCAGCATTTCTGTCTCCTCTGTACCCTGCTGTCTTTTTTTTTTTCTTTTTCTTAACATATCTTTATTGACTTCAGAGAGAGGAAGAGAGAGGGAGATAGAGAGAGAGAAACATCAATGATGAGAGAGTCGTCATTGATTGGCTGCCTCCTGCAGGCCCCCGACTGGGGATCAAGCCCACAACCTCGGCACGTGCCCTGACCAGGAATTGAACCGTGATCTCCTGGATCCTAGGTCAATGCTCAACCGCTGAGCCACGCCCGGACGGGCCAACTGTGTCATCTTGTCCTTCACTCCTTGGCCTGGACACTCATTGTCAGCCCTTACAACAAGGCGGGGCTGTCATTCTAAAAGTCCTTACTGCTCTGTTCTGCCCCTTGTCACCTATGGTTAGCTTTATTAAATGTCTGTCTTGCTAAAAATACCATGGGATTGTGTCAGTACTATATTTGCCACATTTTTCACTGCAGTTCACAACAATTTTACTTATTACCTATCGATGTAATAGGTTTCCCTCGGTGAATGTTTTCAACTTTTTCCACTCTCCACATACCCACATTTCCTCCTGACTCCCTTCACTTCCTGTATTCTTATTTCCTTCTCTTAGGGAGATTGTGAACTCTATAGTTCTTTCCTTTCTGCGTAAGATTAGATTTATGTATCTTTCTCTCACCTTTATTGTTATCTGTGAGGGAAAATACCCTTTTTTGCCCTTCATTTGTGTTCTTGGTTCATCAGTTTTCTCTTATTTGCACCTGACTTTTTCCCTCTTTCTTTTACTGTCTTCCCCAAACAGACATGCTTATGAGTTCCCTAAACTAAAAATGAGCTAACTTTTCCTAGTCTCTGGTCATACTCAAAAAGGTAGTTTACCCTGTGTTGTGCTCTTTACTTCCCCTGTATTATTCACTCTGTAACCTTGTAGTTCTCAATTGGAGATATGTAATTAGAGTCTCCTGTTAGGCCAAACTAAAAAATCTGCCTAGGCCCTTTTTAAGACCTTCAAAATTAGGGTTTTCTAAACATCTCTGATAAATTATCTCTGAAATGCTTCTTAAATATGCAGGTTACCATACTTCTTCCCTGGAAATTTTGATTCAGGAGCTCTGAAATTGAATTGGGAACTTGTGTTTTTAGCAAGAGCTGTACTACTTGACTAAATTAAAATCTCAGAGTGGGGCCTGGGCTTTGTCTTTGAGAACTTCACAGGAAACTCTGACAGTTACCTCTTGGGCAATTCTTGCTGTTTAACATTCACGTCTGTCATCCTTTTGAAACTGCTCTAAGATTACCAGTGACCTAATTTTCAAATAAAACATTTTAATGTTTTATTCTTTATTATTTTAAACTTATGACATAAAGGGGATAGTACAATAAATCCCTCAAGTACCCTCACACAGCTTTAATAGTTATTAACTCTGCTGACCTTTTTCCATTCTGTTCTTCTGTTACTTGTTTGCATGACTTGACACTCTTGATCTATTACTTATTCTTGAAACTTTGTTTTGACAAATAATATTTTCTATGCTGGGTTTCCTCCTACATTGAGTGTGCCTTTTCTAACGTCCGCTCCCACGTATAGGCATTTTCATAGGGTTTTATTCTTGGAGCTTTTCTTCTATTTTCTTCCCCAGCCCCACCCCTGCATTGTCCCATTTAAGACCTTGGCTTCCCCACTCACTGTGTGAGCAGTTCACAAATCTAAATGTCTTACTTTGAGCTCTAGTCTGAGTTGCAAATTTATAGCTGCCTGTTAGTCATTTAGACACTTGAAATTCTAATTATATATAGCATATACCTGTTTTTCCCACTTTGCCCATCCTACTTTACCTATTCTGTTAATGGCGTCACCACATCTTTTACACTTTCCTGTCCTGGGCTATTAGAGTAGCCTCCTCACTAGTATTTCTTCTCTTGCTGCTCTGCCTTACCCTGCACATTCCTACCTGGTTTATCTTGAAGTATATCACCAATCTTACACTTTCCTGCTTAATAACTTTTATTGCCTCTTCATTCCCTGCTATATTAATACAGCCTTCTGATATGGTTGAATTTTTGAGACTTAATTCAAGTATTTAAATAAAAATATTAAAATAATATTATTTCTGAATGTTTAGTGAATTAAAGGTTTGTCTACTTTTTATTATTATTATTTTAAGGTTTGTCTACTTTTTTAAAGAAAAAGGTACATAATTTTCATTTGAGTTTTTAAAGATGTTCTGCATTGACTAGTATAATTAAATAGAACATAAATCTTTTGCTTCATCTACTTAGTTTATATGAAAACCTATGTATTTGCCTTTCATCATACACACACACATACACTTTTAGAAATTTAGTTTAAAAAGTAGGGCCTTTCAGCCTTCCAGTTTATGGAGTATAAAGGAATGACTTCAGTGATGTATAAACTCACATTGCTATGAATAGGTGCTCAACAGACATTTAGTGGATTTGTCATATGTTAAAACAAAAAGCTTTAAAAATATTTTGATGATATAGCATATAAAAATTTCACTGATACAAAAATGAATGTGCTGATTTTAAAAGCTCTTTCTCATGTTTTTAGGGTGAGAATCCTTTTGAAATTCAAGATCATTCTCAAGATCAGCAGCTAGAAGGGGATGAAGAGGAGGAAGAGAAGATGGACGAACCTATTGAGGAGGAAGAGGAGGAGGAGGAGGAGGAGGAGG